CTGGTCCTGGACTTTTAATTTTTGGTAAGTTTTTGATGGTTGTTTCAATTTCTATACTGCTGATGGGTCTATTTAGATTTTCCAGTTCTTCTTGATTCAGTCTAGGAAGGTTGTATCTTTCTAAGCACTGGTTCATTAAATTTGGTGTTATTAAATTTGATGTTATTAAATTTGGTGTTATATACTTTTTCATAGTATTCTTGTATGATCCTTTGTATTTCTGTGATGTCAGCTGTAATTTGCTCTGTTTCAATCCTGATTTTGTTCATTGTGTCCTTTCTCTTTTTCCTTCAGTTAGTCTAGCCAGAGCTTTGTCAATTTTATTAACCTTCTCAAAGAACCAGCTCTTTGTTGCATCTATTTTTTCTATTGATTTTTTATTTTAATTTTATTATTTATGTTCTGATTATGATTATATCTTTTCTTCTGATGACTTTAGGCTTCCTTTGCTCTTCCTTTTTTAGTTTTATAAGATGATGCGTTAGGCTGTTTATTTGGGCTCATTCTTGTTCTGGGAGATAGGCCTGTAATGATATGAACTTTCCTCTTATGACCACTTTTGCCATGTCCCAAAAGTTTTGATATGTTGTGCTATCATTATCATTTGTTTCTATGTATCTCTTGATCTCTCTTTTTATTTCTTCTCTGACCCAGTTATTCTTTAGTAGCATGGTGTTTAATTTCCATATATTTGCGGTTCTTCCTGATTTCTTTTTGTAGTTGATCTCTAGTTTCAAAGCGTTATGATCAAAGAATATGGTTGTTATGATTTCAACCTTCTTATATTTGTTGAGGCTATCTCTGAGTCCCAGTATGTGCTTAATCCTGGAGATTCCATGTGCACTAGAGAAAAATGTATAAGCAGCTATTTTGAGATGGAAAGCTCTGTATATGTCAATTATGTCCAGTTGGTGTAATGTGTCATTTAAGGATGCTATTTTCTTGTTGAATTTCTGTTTGGATAATCAGTCCATATCTGACAGTGGAGTATTTAGGTCTCTACTACGATAGTGTTTTGGCCTGTTTCTCCCTTTAGTTCTTTTGGTAATGCTTTACATATTTTGGGGCTCCCTGATTGGGAGCTTAGATATTAATAAGTGCTATGTCTTCTTGGTGCATGATTCCTTTTATCATTATGAAGTGTTCCTCAGTATCTTTCTTTACCTTTTTTTATTTTGAAGTCTATTTCCTCTGATATTAGTACCACTACTCCCACTTTTCTCTGAATGCCATTTGCCTTGAAATATCATTTTCCACTCTTTCACGTTGAGTCTATATTTGTCTTTAGAGCTGAGATGTGTCTCCTGGAGGCAGCATATGGTTGGGTTTTGTTTTTTTATCCATTCTGCAACTCTGTGTGTTTTTATTGGTTAGTTCAGTCCATTTATATTTAGGGTGATTATTGAAATATGAGGTCTTCTTATAGCCACTTTATCTTTTGCTTTCTGGTATTTCGGTGTTTCCTTTGCTTCTTTGTCCTTGTGTTTCTGTTTTCTTTATTTTGGTTGGCTTTTGTGGGTTTTGCCTGTGGTTCTTCTTGTTTGATGTTATATACTTTAGTTCTGAATCTTTTCTGTTCGGTTCTCATTATGAATATATAAAGGATAGTTATACATATGCAGTGGCCCATTTTCTTCTGCATGTGCATTATATCCATTCCCTTTTGCAAATTTGGATCTTTTATTTCTCCCCTTTTCACTCATTGTTATCTCAATTTGTCCCTATGTATATTGAATGTTCATTACTATCTTGCTGTAGAAATTTTCTTCTTATTATTTAAGATTATAATGCCCTGTTCTTAGTAAGGATTGCAGTCCTCTGCTTCTACTTGCCTGATAGTCACTTTGCTCCTAATTATGTATTTTGTTGTTGTTGTTGTTGTTTTGTGTTAGGTGAGCTGACCCCTTTCAATAGTGCAGGTCTAATAGTGGAGAATTCCCTCAATTTTTGCATGTCTGGAAAGGTCATAATTTCTCTTCCATATCTAAAGGAGAGCTTAGCTCGATACATTATTCTAGGCTAGCATTTCCTTTCACTTAGTTGTTTAAATATTTGATTCCATTCCTTTTTGGCTTGTAAGGTTTTCTCTGAGAAGTTTGAGCATAATCTAATGTGTTTTCCTTTATATGTTACTGTTTTCTTCTCCTGGGGTGCCCTGAGAATTCTATCTTTGTTATCGATTTTTGATAACTTTAATACAATGTGTCCTGGTGAAGGCCTTTCTGGGTTGAGAAATTGGTTGTTCTGTTGAATTCTTGAATTTCAAGCTCCAGCTCATTCCTTAGATTTAGAAAATTCTCATTCACTATTTGTCTTAAAATGCTTTCTAGTCCCTGCTTTGTATCCTCGACTTCAATAATGCCCATTATTCTTATGTTTCCTTTCCTGATGGTATCAGTTAGTTTTTGTATTTCTCTTTCATTATTTTTCATTCTTCGGTTTCTCTCTTCTTCTTTCTAACTTATTTCTAGATTTCTGCCTTCGATATCACTGATCCTTTCCTTCATTTGATCGATTCTATTTCTCAAGCTTGCTATTTCATTTTTCAACTCTTGCAATGTATTTTTTATCTCAAGAAGATCTATCCTGTTCTTTTTGACGGTTTCAATCTCTTTGCTCTGCTCGTCTAGTTGTTTTTTCAATTCCTGAAATTGTTGATATGACTTGTCTCGGAACTCACTGAGTTTTTTTAGCAGTACCATCCTTAATTCTCTGTCATTTAGGTTGTATATTTCTCTGTCTGTAAGCTTATTTTTTGGAGATTTTTCTCTTTCTTTCTGAGATGCCTTGTCACTTGGTTATTCATGGCATTTAATGGACTATTTCTCTACCTGAGCATTAATGGAAGTGTATTCAGATGTTTTTCCAGAAAGATTTATTATATAAAGGTCTCGCTTTAGCCTGCTGCAAAGAAGTCACTTTAATTTTGGTTTCCAGTAGGTGGCATCTAAGCCTCTTGGATCCCTGCTTTATATAAAGGCTTAATAATGCCTTTTTAATTTTCTTGTAGATATTTAATTACACTAGCTACCTTCAGTTTCAGTCCCTGTCAGTGTCAGAGACAGTCTTGGCAGCATCACTCAGATTCCCCTGGGGCTCTGTAGTTTTTGGTCTTGGAGGGTATGGATGGAGAGGCCAGCCTTCTGGGTTGGGAGTTGAGGGCTGCAGCTCAGCCTCGGTTTTGCAACTGTGGCCGGTAAAAATCAACTGTTTTTTCTCTTTGGTCCCATCCCACTCTCTGCTTTCTTCCTTGATAACTGGGCCCTACCATCAGCTGTGGGGAACTCAGAGCACTTCCAGGCAGGGTTGTTCAGGGAAGTTGCCTCATCTTCACCCCTCCCCTCCTCCTGCAGGGAGCTCCAATGGCTGTGAGAGGCAGCTTCTTTGTTTCTCCCAGTCCACCATCCAACACCAGGGTTCTGACCCGTGGTAGCTCTTATGTGCAGATCTCATGCTGAGACATGCTGGTGTGCAGTTTGGGTATTTTTAGTTGAGTTTTATCTGTTTAGCTTATTGTTGTTTCAAGGGGAGAGATCTGCAGATGTCTCTCACTCTGCCATGTATCCCAGAATTTTAGGATTTTATCATTTTGACATTTCAAGCCAAAGCACAGAATACTAAATCCTTTTCATCCTCACCATCTAATTAAACAACTGTTCATTTACACATTGCCATTTTTTCCAAAATCTCAAATTTCAATAAAATAAGAATGAAAAACACAACCTCTGTCTTTAAATCTTCTAATATTTACAATATTTTTTGGTCAATTCTTCATTTTCAAAATGTTTTGATTATATATGTACCAAAATTGTAAGTTGCATAATTATACCTCGTTAATTTGTATAAAGTCACTGTTAAATTATTATTTCTTCCATGGTAATAGTCATTATTCCATTGCTGTGTATTTTGAAGTAGATAGGCACTTTTTTTTCTTATGATTAGTAGAGTTTTATCAACCTATTTTTCTTTTATAATTCACATTGTAACCCATAAAGGTACTAACATAAAAGCAAATCAATAGATTAAAACTAAAATTCTTTATTGATGCTAACTCTTTTGATTTACTTTAAATATGAATCTCATAACACAGACATTTCTGTTTTCAAATGACCAAAGTGGGACTTTTCAAAAAAGTATTTCTATTGCCTTTACTATTATAAATGACAGATTTTATTCACCTTTAACATATAGTGCTGGTTGTAGTAAACATGAAAAAATATATCAAACAGGATTTATTTTTGACCACTCTAGCCTGGGGACAACAGCAATGCATGTTGTCTATTCAATAGGTAAATTATAAATTCTCAAAATCTTTAAGTAAATGTAATCATTTATAATTTGTTCTGGTGTCTTAAATATAAGACCTCCTTCAATCCTTTTACATTGAAAGATACTATGTGATCACTTTACTTCATTTATTAATTGTTTCTTAGAGAAATTATTGTGAGTCCACAATTTTAGGTTTCGTAAAGATGAGCATGCTGTCTATAAACATTTAAACACGTAAAACATTTAAAAGACAAAAGATGCTGTTACATGCAATTTGTTTTAAGTGGATCCTACACATACACCCAACATTTAAATTTGTATGTAAAATTTAATTTAAGGTACGATTTTATTTATTCAATTTTACTCCATGCATTGACTAGTGTTTATTAATTATCTTATTATACAAGTCTATTGCATTGAAAATATTGTTTTCATTATTTTGATATGGCTGCTATAACAAAATACTACAGACTGTGTGGCTTAAACAAACAAACAAAAAAATATTTTCTCACAGGGAGGCTGGGAAGTCCAAGATCAAAGTGCTAGCTCATTCAGTTTCTGGTGAGACCTCTCTTCTTGGCTTGCAGACAGTTGCTTCTTTCTGTCCTCCCATGCTGGAGATAGAATATAAGTTCTCTATTGTCTCTTCCTCCACCTCCTCCCTCTCCTTCTCTTCTTCTCCTCTTCCTCCTCCTCCTCCTCCTTCCTCTTCCTCCTCTCCTACTTCTTCTTCTTCTCCTTCATGTTTCATGAATCCACGTGTCATTTTTGCACATTGGCCATGCTAATCTTCTCTGTATTATTATAATTTTAGTACATGTACTGCAGAAGGGAGCACTGGTATCTCTTCTTATGAAAGAATGGAATCTTATCCTATTGGACCAGAACTCCACCTACATGTTCTCATCTAACCCAAATAACTTCCCAAACACTCCATCCTCAAATATTACATTAGGATTAGAGTTTCATCATATCAATTTGGAGGGTATAAACATTCACTTCATCACAACTCGTTTCTCTCTTTGTGTCCAAAAGTCATCTTATAAGAATACTAGTCAGATTAGAGTGGGGACCACCTTAATTGCCTCATTTTACTAACAAACCTCTTTAAAAGGCTGGTCTCAAAATGGTCATATTCTGAAGTACTGGGAGTTCAGGCGTCAACAAATGAATTTTAAAGAGAGACAATTCTCCAGATAACATTATTTTAGTAGTTTCCTTAGAAACCACCATTTCTATGAAATATGTCAATGGTTTGAAATAGCTATCATATTTGTAGCTTAATTCCTTTTATTGCACATGCCTACCAACAGTGAACAAAGGTTCTTTTTCCCTCATATCTTTGCCAACACTTGTTATTTCTTGCCCTTTTGATAATAGCTATTCTAAAAGGTATGAGGTTATAGTTTATGATTTTGATTTGTATTTTCATGATGATTAATGAAGTTGAATACCTTTTCATGTCATTGTTGACCGTTTGTATGTCTTCTTTGGAAAAAATGTTTATTCAGATCCTTTACCCAATTTTTAATAGGATTGTTTGTTTGCTTGTTTCTTTTCAATTAAGTTGTATGAGATTTTATATAAATTTTATGTATTAACTCCTAATATGTATATAATTTGCAATATTTTCTTCCATTCTATAGGTTTCATTTTTACTTTGCGGGTGGTTTTCTTCACTGTACAGAAAATATTTGATATAGTCCCACTTGTTTATTTTTGCTTTTATTGCCTTGCTTTTAGCATCAAATCAAAAAAAAAAATTATTGCCAAGACCCATGTCAAGAAACTTACCTCATATTTTCTTCTACGTATTTTATAGTTTCAAGTTTACATTAAGTTTTTAATTGATTTTGATTTAATTTTTGTGTATGGTAAAAGAGAATGGTCCAGTTTTACTCTTTTTCATATGGCTAGCCAAGTTTTCCCAACACTATTTATTGAAGAAGCTATTCTTTTGCCATTGCATATTCTTTGTGCCTTTGTTGTAAATTAATTGACCATATATATGTGGGTTAATTTCTAGGGTCTCTATTTTGTTCCATTGATTTGTGTGTCTTTTTATTACACAGTTTTCATTATTATAGCTTTGTAATATGTTTTGAAATTAGAAAGTGTATGCCTCTAGTTTCGTTCTTTTTCAAGACTGCTTTGATTATTTGGATACTTTGTGGTCCATACAAATTTTAGGATTGTTTTTTTTTATTTCTGTGAAAAATGTCATTGGAATTTTGATAGAGATTGCACTGAATCCATTGATTGCTTTAAATAGTATGAATATTTTAACAATATTAATACTTCTAATCCATGGACAAAATTTTACTTATTGACAACTAAATAAAAGTCATATGGCTTATGTTGTTAAATGGCTTATGGGCTAACATCTACTGATGGCCATATTATTTTCACTCAGCACATACACCAGGTTAAACAAATAAAGTATACTTTAATATCATGAAACTATGGAAGATAAAAGAAGCTTAGCGTGAGTTAAATGTTAGTTTTTCATCTATTTTTCAGAAGAGAAAATAAAATTATTATATTCAGCATAAATAATTACATTGCTCCTTAATCCCCAAAGATAATTACTATGAATATAATTATAATATATAAAAATACATATTCTTAACTAATTACATCTAATAACCATTAAGTCACATAATTATTTTAAGTCAACTATGATTTGTGGAAAAAGTAATCATGTGTCTAAGGACATTTCAATTCTAAAAGAATGTATAAGGGTTTTCTTAAAATTGTGATACCTTCAATAATAATAATAATAATTGCAGTTCATCAAATTTCATCATTCAGAGAGTCTATGTAGTATTCAAATCATTCGTAGAGTTTAAATTGTATTTATATAATTTATAGAGTCTGAATTGTATTCAAATTATAAAATGTTATGTGTTGGTTCCTAAAAGTTTGGATTTATGTAGTATGAAAAACATAAGAAGTTCTGCCTGATTTCCCCTTACCTATTGTAGTAAAATGAGAGAAGAGAAAGATAAATTTAAGGAGTTATTAAGCAAAAAGGGAACCAGAATTTGAACTTTGGGGAAATTCTCAACCTATCAATATTGCAAAAAAAAAAAAAAAGCATGTTCTGGAGAGAATTCTGAGTATGACTGGAAAATAATTTGATAAAGAGATCATGGGTGTGACTCATGGTATCCCAGCCATCTGAACAGAAGTTAGGATTCATAGGTATGAAAATAAAGGGGTGGACATGGTAGTAGCACCACACACTATTACCCCTCACAATAGTAAAATCTTACTTTACCCACTAGCAAAAATTTTGCTTTCTGTTCCCAGTCTCTAGGCTCTATTCACCTAGAGGTCTTAGTTCCAAAGGGAGCAACACATACCAGGAGACACAAAACAATAATGATTCCATTGAATTAGAAGTTAAGACCACCACCTAGCCACAAAAAAGAATTACCGTGCTGGCTGGGATGACTTCTACTGTCTACCAAGGAGAAATTGGACTACTACTCCACAGCGGAAGAACGAAAAAATGTATTTAGAATATAGGATATTCTCAAGGTCATCTCTTAGTATTACCAAGACCTGTAATAAAAGTCAATGGAAAATAATGAAAACCCAAACAAGGCAAGACTACTAATAGCTCAGATCTTTATTCAGAAATAAAGATTTGAGTCACTCCACCAGGTAAAGAACCATAAGATTCTTGCTGAAGGCAAAGATGATATGGAATGAATAGAGGAAGATAATATAAATACCACCTATGACTACATGACCAGTTACCAAAATAAGGAGTGAATTGGGATAGTTAATTTTATGTATCCACTTATCTGGACCACAGTGCCAGGTATTTTGTCAAACATTGTTCTGGATGTTCCTGTTAAGGTGTTTAAATGAGATTTTATTTAAATTGATGGACTTTGATGAACACATATTGGTCTCTAAATGGGGTGGACTTCATCCAATCAGTTGAAGGCCTGAATAGAACAAAAAGATGTTCTCCTCCAAGGAAGAGGAAATTCTGCATAGTCTGCCTTTAGACTTCATCTTCATAGTCTGCATAGTCTGCCTTTAGACAACATTCCTTCTTCCTGCTTCTACAGAAGACTGCCTTTGAACTCAAAATGCAACAGTTTTCAGAGTCTCCAGACTGCCAGCTAACCCTAAATGATTTTGGACTTGCCAAATTTCTACCAACATGTGAGCTAGCTCCTTATACATCTTATTGATTCTGTTTCTCTAAAGAACTCTGACTAATAGAGAAGTTGAATTATGTGGTAATAAATAAGTACATTAAATGCTGAAAATTTTGAAATATTGGAAAATTTACAAAAAAAATTTAGAAAAAAATTTTTATTAATCAGTATTTTATAATGTGCAAAATGATTGTAAGTGATTTGTAGGCAATGACTTTACAAACTATTTTGTTAATCAAATTTTATAAACTTTATTAAGTGAATTAATCAGATAATCAAATGTTACTAATAGTATAAAATTATTTCAGATGAATAAAAGGTGTCTGATTAGATTAAGTAATGTTGAAATATGTAATTTTCAAATTTTTATTTGCTGCGTCTTCAAAATAAATTTCTACTTTTGGTTGTTTTAAAAACTGATTTAGGTTGATTTAATTCATCATAGAAGGCAATGTTTAATTATCTATGATTTTAGATAATGTTATCTTAGTAACATATATGTTGAATGAATTATGTATGCATTTTGTAAAAAAGAACATCAGTTTACAACTCCATATTTATTTATTATAGTTTGATATTTACTTGAAACAATAATAGCAATGATATATATTTGCATTATTGCATTGACTGAATTTGTTTTGAAAATTTGTAAACATCTGTGATAATTATATTTAAAAGAAAACCCTGACATTTTATTTTGATTTGAATTTCAGCAATGAACTAATTTGAATTCAGGCTATGAACTTTGGCAGACAGCCAAAGCTATGTGAATTTTTAGAAATCTTGCTGTTGTTTCAACTTAGACTACAAATGCACTAGGAATAAATGAGCACGTGCATACATATGATCTTTCTATGTAATATCTTAAGATAATGCATCAAAGGCTAAAAAAAAGAAGGCAACCAGCATTTCCTTTTTATTATAAAAAATCCAATTAAATGTGTATCAAACTATTCTATTGTCTAACTAATATACCTAGTTTATATATAGTTTATATAAACTATATATATACCTAGTAATATACCTAGTTTATATATAGTTTATATATAGTTATTTAGTTATATATGTGTATGCATATTTATATATCAAACTTCTTAAAACTATATTTTTGAGATATTTTGATTCATTTTTATTACATAAAATCCTAGAATTTTATGTTAAAATACATTATAGAGTTAACTTGAATAAACATTTAAGGTCATATACTAGTTCACATAATTTTCTCTGAATGGCATAAATTTCACTCAAAAAAGGCAAGAAAGTCTACCTCTTTTCTTTCTAGGATTAATGGCAATAAAAAGATATCAGAAGCATTTAAAATAATTCAATATCTCTTTCTTCCCCTATTTCCCATCTGAATTCTTAACACACACACACACACACACACACACACACACACACACATACACACACACAGAAATATCCTTGTACAAAAATTTAGTTTCATAATTATTACCAATGTAAACAGTAATTTAAATCTTTAAACAAATTCAAGATATTAATAAAGATATTAAAGGAATATTCAATGTAAGAGGAGCTGACATGAGGGAATTACTGAGAGAGTAGAAGGAAAGCATAGTAATCTTTCAAACTTTGTCATATGTCCTAGAAGCAGAGAAATAGTGAATCGATATAATTGTTACTATAATATCAACATAGT